GGTCAAGGTTAGCTTCTCCTAGAAGCTAGCTAAACCGTATAACCCTACCATGGTTCCTAGTAAACCATGGTTAAGGTTAGCTTCTCCTACAAGCTACCTTACCCTATATATTTGATTTTCCTACACTTCTACTCACTTTTGTCAAATATGAGAAATAAAATCTGAATTTTCTCTCTCAAACAAGAGTCACCAAAACCGTGAGCACCTACACTCTAAGGTTTCTAGCAAAGTTCTTCAACTTTGCCTTGGTTCAACAATCTTCCTTCACAAGTTTTAGGAAGTGGCCGAACCTCCTCTTCAAGGCTTCTCCTCCATGGAAGCTTCTTTCATGGAGATTCAAGTTTCACCAAGGGATTAACCTCAAGAACATTCGGTCCAAGCATGGAGGAGTTGAAGTTCATCAATCTTCTTCAACTTAGCTCCATCAGGTGGAGACGGAATTTTGAGGTTTAAGGGAAGAATTTGCCTACCTCATGATTCTAAGCTGAAGAAAGCAATTTTGGAGGAAAGCCACAAGAGTAGACTTAACATACATCCTGGTATAACTAAGATGTACCAAGACCTCAAGAAGACTTTCTGGTGGTCTGGTATGAAGAGGGATATAGCTGAATATGTGGCAGCCTGTCTGACTTGTCAGAAGGCAAAAGTGGAACATCAGAAGCCAGGTGGTTTGCTACAGCTGATGGAGATTCCCGAATGGAAGTGAGATAGTATCACTATGGATTCCATTGTGGGATTACCTAGGTCGGCTAGGAATAGTGATGCTATTTGGGTGATTGTTGATAGGTTGACCAAGTGTGCACATTTCTTGCCTGTCAATATCAAGTGGTCCTTGGAGAAGTTGACGCAGTTGTATGTGAGGCAAATAGTATGGTTGTATGGGGTGCCTTCCAGTATTATTTCAGACAGAGATCCGAGGTTCACTTCTAGATTTTGGCAGAGTCTACATCAAACCTCAGGCACTAAGTTGAGGTTGAGTTCTGCTTATCATCCACAAACGGATGGTCAGTTAGAGAAGACAATGTAGTTCTTGGAGGATTTGCTGAGGGCTTGTGTGTTAGATCACTTGGGGAGTTGGGAGGAAGTCCTACCACTGGTGGAGTTCACGTACAATAATAGCTTTCATGCTAGTATTAGGATGGCACCGTTTGAAGCACTGTATGGTAGGAGGGGTAGGACTCCTCTATGTTGGTATCAAGATGGTGAATCAGTGGTTGTGGGGCCAGAGCTAATCCTACAGACTATTGAGAAAGTGAAGCTGATTTAGGAGATAATGAAGACTACTCAGAGTAGGCAGAAATCATATGCTGATAAAAGGAAAAAGCCTTTGGAGTTTGTTGAAGGGAAACATGTGTTTTTGAAGGTGACCCCAACCTCTGGTGTGGGAAGGGAGCTGAGGGCTAAGAAGTTGACACCTAGGTTTGTCGGTCCCTATCAGATCATCCATCGTGTGGGTCCGGTCGCTTATCGGTTGGCCTTGCCACCGTTTCTCTCCAATCTACACGATGTGTTTCATGTATCCCAACTGAGGAAGTATGTTCATGATCCCAGTCATGTAGTTGAGTTGGATGAAGTTCGAGTGAAGGAGAAACTAACTTATGAGAAGTCGCCGATAGTTGTGGTTGATTACAAGTTGAAGGAGTTGAGAGGCAAGTCCATTGGATTGGTGAAAGTTTTGTGGGATGCAGCTACTGGTGAAGCTACTTGGGAAGTTGAGCAGCAGTGCAGAAAATAGTATCCTTCCTTATTCCCAAGTAAGTCTATTTTCGGGGACGAAAATTCCTGTTGTTGGGGAGGTTGTCCCGTTCCCTCTTACTCCCTTTCCCTCTCAACATAACCTTCCTTCTCACTCTTCCTTCCCATTCACTTGCCTTGTTCAAATTCTTTGTTCCTTGGTGGCTCTAGGTGCTGAATTAGAGACGTGTGGAGCTAGCTGAGGGAGCGCAGATTCCCTTCTTCCCGAGTTCCATCTCCAAGCTTTCTTTTTTTCTTCTCCTCCTCTTCCCGGAAGCTCGAAATCTTCTCCTCTGAGCTAAGGGAAGCTAGATTTCTTGCGGATTGTTTGAAATGAGTTAACTTAAGGTTGCTTGATTCATGGTGATTGACAGTCGATTTCAAAGAGTGCTTGCTTTCGGGGTTTTTGGGAAAATGATGAAAGATTGGGAAAATGGGGATTTTTGAGTGTTAATGGTTGCATGTTGATAAAGTGATGATTTTTGAGTTGTTTGCTGAAAATGTGGTTCATTTGATGGATTGCATGTGTTTGAGTTGGTTGATTTTGTAGGTTTTTGGTGAAATTTTTGAAGTTTGAGGGTTGCTATTCGTAATTGCGTCGGGCCTAGTTCTTGGCATCGGGCGTGTAACCATCAGAGAGTTCCATTGGTCAAGCACGTCGGGTGCAAGGTTGTTTGCGCCAGGCGAGCTTGGGAATGAAAGTCCCTAGATGGCTCACGCCGGGCATGGGAGAACTGCGCTGAGTGTGATATCAGACATGGACTCACAATTTTGGAGTACTGGCATGGCGCCGGGTGTGATTCAATCTCGCCGGGTGTCGAGGCCCCATGGGGTCTCTACCAGGGGTGACGCTGGGTGCAATTGGAATTGCGTCGAGCGTGAGACCTTGGGGAGGTCTCTACCTTACTTGTGTCGAGCGCGGGTTTGGTACGCTGGGCTTGTGAGACTCCTGAGAGTCTTTGCCTTCTATTGTGCCGGGTGCAATTGAAATTGCACTGGGCACGTAAGAGCTTTGGAGCTCTCTGGTTGGTCCAGGCCGGGCGCAAACTCTATTGCACCGGGCGCGGATGTGTTTTTTTTATATAACTATGCTGATTAATATTGTTAATGCTGTATGATGTAAAGTTGAGCTGTGATGTACTACGATGTTTATGTTGTATGATGTTATTGCTGATGAATGTTGTTATGCCGAGCTGTGATGTATGCTGTCTAAGTTGTTAATGCTATTAAGTTGAGCTATTTTGAGTGTTGAATATGTTGTTTAAAATAGTGAGTTGTGTTGTTGAACATGAACTGTGTAGGTCGTAAGGCTGAGCTGTGTAAGCCGTAAGGCTGAGCTGTATAGGCCATAAGGCTGAGCTGTGTAGGCCGTAAGGCTGAGTTATGTAGGCCGTAAGGCTGAGCTGTTGATCACTAAGACTAGAGGAGATCTCCTAGTTGAAATGCGTGACGACGCATAAGCTGGTAGATGTTGACTTTGCTGAATGATGTGAGTTGTATATGTGTAGGGTGTTGTGAAGCTGAGATGTAGATGTATGCTGTTATGTGTTGTATGTCAACTTTGTTGAATTTGATGATATGCTGTTAGTTGAAGTTGTTTATAATTGAATTATATGCTAATTCTTTTCACTAGCTTACCGTTACTTGTTTCCATGTGGGTTGGACTGCAATGATTATACTGTGTATGAGAGTAGAGCAGAGATAGGTTGGAGTATAGTAGCAGGACTGCAGCTGGCAGATGGAGCTGATGTTTTGTTGTTTATGGATACTTAGTGTAGCTAGGTTGATATTTTTGTATATTGACTTGTTAAGCCCCAAGCTAGTCCTATGTGTATATATTTTCTATTTATATGTATGCCCTATTTTGTGTGGTATTGTTTGTTGTGCGACAGCTAAGCGAGTCGTTACAATACATGTGATTTACAAACAAAAAATATAATAAATAATATAATAAAAATAGTATAAAAAGAAATTCATTTAATGAATAGTTGATCGTAGGTAAAATTATTTATTATTGATTCTTTTTACATGTAACACAATTAAAAAATAACATATGACTACATATAAAAAAATTAATGGCATTAATTTTAATTTTAAAAAAAATCATATTATATTGTTTTCAAAAATTAAGAATTTAATTTAATTTTTTTAATTAATGAAAAAGTCAAAGTAAACTAATTAAATTAAGGTTAAATCACTTTTTTAATTCATACAGTTTTACTTACTTTATCTTGTTTGATATAGATGTTTTTAATCTTTATATTTATTTTTTTTAATTATTTTTACTCCTTATAAATTAAAATAAATCATTTTAATCTTTATATTTGTGATTTTGTAATTCTTTTAACTTTAATAATATTTTTTTTAATGTTAACTATATAAAAAAATCATAAATATTAAACTAAAGCAAATATATATTTTCTTAATTATTATCGACTAGCTTTTCATATGTGATTTTTAAGTAATTATAAAAAATATTATTTATCTTATTTTTATCACATTATAATTGATATATTTTAAAAATTTAAAAGCGATAATAAATAATAAATTATGAAAGGATATTTATAATTATAATATTTATTTTCAACCTTTTGATAAATATTATGATATTTTAATAAAAAATAATATATACTAAATTCTCGTGAATAAGAAAAATTGATTGATTGTAATATATATATATATATATATATATATATAT